AAGAAAAAAAATATTGAGAGAACTACCTCCCCTTGCTAGTTCCTGCACTCTCATGGCTGGTAAGGGTGCTAATATTTTTAGTAGAAGATATTTAAGCAACCTAAATCATGCCAATTCACACGGACAGTTAATGATTGCAATAGAAAAGCAAAAATAATGTTATCTGCAACTGCCAACTGTACCAATCCTGTGATGAAAACAATGAATTTTGTGAGAAATACAAAGGCAAAACATAAGGATGACTCATACAAAGAAAGCTTGAAAGCATGTCTCACATCCCTAGGTGAGATGAGTAAGGATCCCCTAACTCTAGGATGTTGCTTGACTCTGCTCATCTAAGCTTAGATAAATGTAAGACATTGCATGGTCATGTTACTCAGTGTGGGTTAACAACGTATGAAACCATCCACTAAAGCCTTGACTCATGGCAATACTTGTAAAAATCAGCAGGCATATGTCTAATGGAGGTATTGTATTTGAGTACCACAACATGCATTGAAAAGCCTTTTAACATCAGCAGTCTGCTTTTCAGACATGCTGAGTAACTGCAGCTCCTATAAAAACTGATGGGACTCACATGAAAGTAAAGCAGTGGTATCCTTCCAGCTCATTTACTTCTATATGTATACTTACTATTGAGGACATGCATGCTTCCATCTGAAACTATGTTCGAAGCAAATTTTAAATATGACTGAACAAATTGCCTCACACTTTCTGGAGTATTTAAAGGATAACAAGAGACAAGCAGCTTTACATTGCAAACATAACATGTTGCAGCATCTAAGAGCAGAGTCACAACAACTAACACGACTAGTGGTCACTCCAGTTAAATGGTTACTGCTGTCAGTTTGCTCATTGACTTTGCCAGAAGTTAATCCTTCCTTCCCAACTCTTCCTTTGTTTCTTCCCTTTTTTTTTTTTCTTCCTTCCTTTGTTCCTTTCTCCTTTTCTTTCTTTCCTTTCTCCAATTCCCACTGTTACAGTTGGTGTTACAACTAGAAAAATTATCGTGGTGAAAATGGGAAGAGAAACAAACAGGCAAGGAGGTGCCTGTAAGTGCCCAAATGAGACCATGGGGCCCAGGCTGCACTACAGCGATCAGGGGCAACAGCAACACTGGGGCATCAGGGTCGGTTTTCTTGGTATAGAATGCCAATGGGGCAGTCAAGGGATAAAATTCTCACTGGCACTGGAACATTTATGTGAAAAAATGGTATGTAACTTGAAGAAAACAATGACAAAAAAGCAAGAGAGAGATTTAGCAGGTTTTGTTCTAATGTCCTAATCAAGGCTTAGCCATGTGTTATTAAGCAGATGCGGTTTGACGTTAGACTGTTCAGACATCAGGGATAATCAGGCCAGCAAAGTTCAAATTTTGCATGTGTGAAAAAGGAGGCCATGCAAAGGAAAAAGTTCCATTGCAGTCTCGTCAGTGTTTCAATTTATTTTCTCTGAAGCATTTGCAAATGAGAATTTTCCATATGACTTGAGAACCTCTGGCAGGGCTGTGATGGGAATGACCAACTGAGAACAGTAAACATGTTAACCCAGCTCATCATCATCAGCTGTCTAAATATAAAAATAATTAATTTGTTTTTGTACTTCAAGCTCTGTAAAAATGCAAATCCACAGGGGCCATCTGCACTTTAAAGCTATTTTGGATTAAGGTAGTGTGGGAATTTATGCTCCCCAGGCTACTCTTCCATACTTAATGCACAGTTGACTTTTGCTCCAAGTAAGACAGATTTTCCTGACTTAATACATTTTCAAAGAGGGAGGGTACACACATGGAGTTACTCTGGAATAACTAACTGCCCATACAGGCAAGCCCTAGCGGCTAACACTGAAGTAAATATGCTCATCACTCAAGCACACAGCCTACAAGCTCTTACTCACACACAGCTTTATGCAGATGAAGGCATGTATCAGGTTTCGTAGGGTTGCTCATGCACATGCCAAAACGTTTACGGGACTGGGGCCCTGCTTTGAAGGAAAAGAGGTGTGCTGTGCCCCAGAGTACCACCTTAAAGAGAAGTACTAATCCCCAGACCGAATGCTAGTGCATCCCACCGTCTCTCCCATCTCTCTGATATCATTCCAGTTGGCTCTCCTGCACTCACAGATAATTCACACATGTTCGCTCATACACAAACACTACAGCACCCCTTCCCCCCACAAAAAAAGTCAGCCAGCTGTTACAAAATTCAGACATTTCATTAACACAGTTTACTGCCTGATGGTGCCAAGCAAAATAGAGACAATTAATAACAATCAGGACTGAAGGGACTGAGACAGCTTATGAGTAAAATATTGTACGAGTTGTTTAAAAAGGACAAACTACCTCCTGCCTTGAGTGATAGGAAACAAAGGACGGTGGTGTATAACCACAGACGAAAGAGACTCTCTCAACGCCTTTTGTAGATGACTGTGTGAATGACAGAAGCGGCAGGAGCAACTACCTCTTTTCATTTGCTCAGCCTGCTGGAGAAGAATAGCAGCGCTTGCCAACGAAGCTGCAGCTGTGCTTCAGCTCAGTTTAATCACCGTGTATGACTGAGGGTTAATTAGCTGCCATTCTCACTGCTATTTGTTGTTCTAATGAAGATTTGCATAAATGTAAGGCTAGGGGGTAACCGATACTTTATTCTTCAGAGGCGCTGGGGGTGGAAAACTTACCCGTCCCAAGTGTTTGTGTTTGTGGAAGACTCAGTGTTTCCTTTCCATCTGACCTGATCTACTTCTGACTGATGAATGGTGAACAAAGAGTTCAGAGTTGCTTATCAAATTGGGATCCCTGTTGGGCTGCTGCCTTTAAAAAGGGGTAGACCAGTGCGATGAAGAGAGGGCTTGGTGATTAGAAAATCACTCCCAGCTGACAGAGAGCAAAATATATGCATATATATTTCTGTGTGCATCTCAGTGATATATAGAGATCAGTGATCTTCCTTCCTTCCTTCCTTCCTTCCTTCCTTCCTATCCACCTACCTATGTTCCAGCTAGATGGTATGATATGCTAATGATAAAATTTCATAAAAACGAGTGGGACAAACCAGAACTGGCTTTACCATATTAGGCTATACACTGAAAAGTAAAAAGCCTTCTGTTGCACATCACTACAATTTGAAGTTCACTTTTTAATGTAAAAAATTATCTAACTTGAGGCAAGTAGTTTCAAAGGAAGGCAAAAATGACTCTCTTGTTCACAGATAGTGCCATCAGCTCCTCATAGGAGGTGAACTCATAAGTAAAGAAATTACATTAATTCCTCACCCCCAAAAAATAATGCAAATTTTAACATGACACAGTAACAAAACCCACAACCACTTTGTATTTAAAGAGCACATTTAAATTGAAAATGACATATCATAAAATCGTTTTATTTACCAAAGTCATGATGATGTTTATGGCTACTAAGTGAAAGAAACTGAAGAGTAACTACTGATTTTTAGAATGTTAACGTGCTACACATGATAATACCTTATGAGTAACAGTTTTCAGTGTTCATCTCAACTACTTGCTCTGTTGGCATTGCTGTTTGACAGCATCTGCAAACTGGTCTAAGGGAATGAAAATGACTGAGAGATCAGAGATGGAAAATTCCAAGTTTCAAATCACTGGTTGGAGCTAGCAAGCTTTCAAGCCACTGATTTGCTTCTATAAACAGGTGAGTACAACTGCACATCTATTTTCAGTTTCTCACTCACAACATAGCTTTGCTATTAACTTCTGAAATGGTTATATTTTCTAATAGACAGTTACTGATTTTGCAGCAGTGTCTCAGCAGCTCTTTATCCGGTCTCTAAGACACCTGAGCAAATACCCATTTCCTATCTGTATGTCACCACTCCGCCTGACTGCATACAGGCACCTCAGCAGAGGTTGGGGTGGGCGCTACAAGGAGTCTGCCTTCTGTAGAGCAATGCAGAGAGCATCCAGCACTGCAGAAGTAAATGTGTCTGAAACGGTACCACAGAGCTCCTCAACACCTCCAGTTCTCAGCTGGAAGGAACACTGCCGTTATTAATGCTACACACAGTAACACACCCACATGGAAAAAGTGCAGCCAACTGCAATCAAAAGTTGACTTTCAACTTATCTGAAGCTCTGAAATAATTCAGACTTCTGTTACAGCATGTGACTCAGCCCCTAATTACACAAGAATCTCACGTTCCACCCTTTGAAATGCACTTTTTTAGCCTTTTGGCTGGGGAGAAAAGTTTAGAAACAGGAAACCTAAAGCTTAAAAACCTAGATAGTAATTAATCATAATATAGCAAAACTAAGTGTACAATAAAAAAACAAACTCAAGAACATTAAAATGCATAAGCAGATCTCTTAATTTTTCTTTAAATGACTCTTATTAATGTCTATATAGTACAAATTTTGAAGGCTGCAATCAGAACAATTCATTGGCAAATTGGTTAAGAGAAAGTGGAAATTACAGATCTAGTGGTCAATTGCAGAAAACAAATCTAAAACAGCCGAGGGAATAGGTTAAGTGCTATGCAAGTTAATATGAATGACAGCTTGCTTTGATTGCTCATACAGGCTGTCCAGGATCTTGAATAAACTTCATTCAAATTAATTTTCATTATTTGTAGATTCCGTGTTAGACATCCATCACTGTCGCTACTGTTCATATTCTTTTCAAGACCATACTATCAGCATATTTAAATGAAAGCTTTCTTTTTCAATATTTATTAACTCATTCATATTTCTTGGTACTAATGTCCTGGCTGTAGCCTATTACAAAGTATTTTCCCCTGATTAAACTTTCTGAATTAACAGATTTTTATTTCCAACTACTAAAAATGCAAGAGGTCTTAACATTGTGTCTTCTTTCTTTACTGTGCATCAATTCTAATGAATTTGAAACTTAAATTTTGATTTTTTTTTTTTTTTTAAACAGAGCTGAAAAAGAGTGCACCAGCCACATCCTAAATGCTGACAGACTATGAACTGCAAATGAATGCAAATGTATGAAAGTGAATTTGTCTTACCCGGGTTGCAGTCTGTGAGGAGGGAGCAGATGGAGAGGAGAACTTTAGAAATGGTTAATGCTGGACTCCAGTTGTCTTTTAAAATGTCCAGGCAGATGACGCCTTGGCTGTTAATGTTACAGTGGTAGATCCTTGTCCGGAACGTTACCTAGAAAAGACAGCGTGTTGTCTAAGTGCAGTGGTGTACAAGCCAATAATTAGCATGATTATTAAGCAATAAAAAAATTGCACAAGAGACCATTCTGCTTTTGTGGTTGAAATGTCAGTATTCTGTCAGTTCCCCTGCGGTGCTCGGGGTGAAGAGTTAGAAGAGGGTGGATGGAGGGAAAGTGTTTTCAGTCTGGTTTTAGTTCTCACTGCTCTCTTCTATTAGTAATAGACAATAAATTATATTAAACTCCTCCAGTCTGTTTGGTCATGACAGTAATTGTTGAGCAATCTTCCTGCCCTTATCCCAACCTTTGAGCCCTTCCTCATCTCATTTTCTCCTCTTCCCTTAAGTCAAGGGAGTGAGAGCAGTTGTGAAGTCCGACTGCCCATCAGGGTTGTTCCTGGCACCACTTGCCAAGTTTAATTCAAGTTGGGCCCTGGCTTTCCTGACCCCATTCCTACACAGCCTAGCAGCTTCCTTATACTTTTCCCATGGTACCTGTCCCTGTTTCCACTTTTCAGTACATAGCTGGAATAAAGTTTTTGCTTAATTACTTCTCCTGAAAAAAGTGCTTTTCCAAGCTTCCATGAATAAAAATTTGAGCAGTAACTGGGCACGCTGAGTAATTATATGTACATGGTCTCATCAAATGTGAGGGAAACCCACTGAGTCCATTGCACAGATTAAATTATACTTTCAAATTATTTCAAGATAAGGGTCAGTTGGAGCTTGTAACCTGCTTAAGAGAATGCCATCAATCTGAGCACGTAGTTTAATATGCAACTGCTTTGTTGTCATTTTAGAGGATAGACAATTTGCCACACATTCTTTTGAGAACAGCCAAGAAGGAACACTGTGAATTTGATGGGACTCAGAGAGTCACTTGGATGAATGGAGGTAGTTCTTATTTTATGTAAACTGTTCAACTCCATTGCCATCTTAGGCTATTGGATAAATGTAGTCAGGATTATATGATTGTAGTTGGAAGGCTATTCTTCACAAATACTTTGATCTATTTTTTTTTCCACTACATTTTAAACTCACGACACTGAGGAAGGCACCCACTTGCATGATAAGGGTTGCTGCTTATCATTGACAAACAGGTCATCCACTCACCAAACATGTCAGTGCACTTGAAAATGACTACACAAATATACAGTGGCATTTTTACAACAGAAAAAATATTGAAGTTTTCAGAATCTCAAAAGACGCTGTATGAATGATGGCTGTAACACATCGCGAACTGTGGATGAGGGGTGGGAGACGATGCTGCCCACAGGTGCTGTAAAGCTTCCCATGGCTGGCAGTGGCAAGTGTTGCCCAGGCCTCCTTGGCCATGGAGGAGAGACAACCCAGAAAAAGCAAATCCAAGAGTCAGATTCTGAACTGGCCAACAAATTTCCATGTCCTGTGGTAAACTGGGATTTACCTGCCCTCTGCCTGCCTCCCCGCCCAGGCTGTTTTGTGGAGGGATGCTGATTGGTGCAAGAAGAAGAGGTGACTGCCCTGTGTAACTCCTCAGCTGCTGAGGAAGCCTGCAGGAAAACCATCATCTTCTTTCACCTTGCAAGCTCTGGCCTGGTGGTAGTTACACAATCCTAAATCTGTTGAAAAGGACAAGCTGAGCAGCCCCATCCCATTTTCACTTCCCAAAGAAGCAAAAGTAAGATGCAGCATAGCGGAGATGACATATTGCTTTCCTCATGCAGACACTGCCTCAAATTGCATCTAATGTGGGAAACGCTAATGTGTAGCTTTCTGGATGCTATGTAGTTTGCCATATACACATTTTAAAGTTATGCAAGGTCATCTCTGTTATGTATGTAGAGAGAAGTCAAGTGATATCATCATTCCAGGTTAGCTCCATTTTCTTTAATATGGTCATTTTTTAACCTTTGACGCCACTTAAATGGTTCCTATAAAGGATGCATTCTAATTCCATTTACCCCCTAATGAAAACACCTAAACAATCCCATTCAGAGACTCAAGGGAGCGTGTGGGTGTATAGTAGGAGTTATTCTCATACAGTTGAATGGTAGAGGAGTAATTTATCTTTTTTTGAAAGGTAAGTGCTCTCTATGGATTTACGCTCTTTGGTTCTGCAGTTTTTAGAGGATATCTCTTTTTTTTTTTAAATAAAAGTTCAGGTCAGAGAAATGTGAATTATGGGAAATAATGAAAAATAGAGCTATCTTCTGAAAATTGTAAAAATACTATAAAGAAGCTTTTGAAGGGTAATGATAAGGAACATTACATTCAGTTATGGAAGTAAGTAACAACAAACTCATCTGTTTACCTACCGGTGAATGCCAAAACCTTCTGAGTATTGTGAAACAGAATTGTACAAATAAAATAAAAAACACAAAACAACCCTTTGTATAGTCTCTAGGAAGAAAATGAGGTTATTTTTCTAAAGGAGGGAGAGAAAATGATTACAGAGAAAAGAAGTACATGTGAAGCTATGACTGGCATTTCACTGAGTATAAGTTTTAGGACAGAAAGACTGTTTACAAAATTGTGGAAGAGCAGAGTAAAATGGAATACAGTTGAGTGACTGGAGACAACTGATTGCATGCAGGACAAATTACTCCTGGATCTCAGAGTAATTTTGATCACTGGTTTTCCAACATGATCTAGTCTCAGAATCCCTCACTATCTCAGTTTTGCACCTAATGTTCATAGGTCTAAACCTGAGAAGCCACCATGCCACTTGCAGCCATGAGGGTGACCAGCTTAACCTCTGGTGAGACTAACAGGGAGGCGTGTAAAAGCACTGCAGCTCTGAAAGGGACAATTCCACAAACACACCTCATGCACTTTCAGACTACACTGAATTTGTTTCAAATTGTATCTAGAGGAAGAAATGGTCCTCCATTTTTGCGTATCAGCAAATAAGGAATTACAACGTGCACTCAGGAACTGCCTTATTCAGCCTGTTTGGATTCAACTCCTATCCTCCATTCTTCATTCCTCTCACTGAAGCTGGGCAACTGAGCAAGGAAAGATTCAGAGTCCACAGGAGAATAAATGGAAACAAAACTCTTTTGCTTGGCCAACACTGGAAGCAGGATTGAGATCCCAGGGCTCTCATTCCTGCAGTTTTACAAAATTTCCTTTCAAGCTCTTTCATTTCTTACAAGGGTGCAATCCTGCAGTCCTTCTTGAGATGAAACTTCTGTCTTTCGCTAATATTCCCCAGGAGTTCTGTTTTAATAAAACTGTAGTGGCACTACCTGAAGTGGAAGAAGTTGTACTGCATACAGAAAAGGTTATATATATATTAAAAAATACGATGCCCTTTATGATGATGTTCATGGACTCCCTCCCTCAGGAGGGAGTAAGAATTCTCATGTTGGTTTGTCAGAGTTTATGAGCAATAGATTTGTCTGCTCAAACAGAAAGAATAATAAAAAACAAGAACAGGCCTACACTTTTTAATCATTTTAGAAAAATACTGTAAAGCAACCTAAGTGAACATTATTTACAGGTATGAGGAACACAATATCCATGTAATAACCTTTGTATTAATTAGCATCCTTAAATTTCTGACTGGGTGCACTTCATTTTATCTGTGCCAAGCACTGAGGCTACCTTTCTATGACAGGATGATCCATCTCTGCTTTGCAGCTACAGATTAGTAGCATGCACACAAGCAATTGTTGGGATACTTAATGGATTATCACATCAAGTGCATAATAAATGACTGACCTCATGATGCTCACTGTTTAAAGGGCGAGGTTTAGATATACGCCAAGAGATGAACTTCAGGCAGTTCTTACAAAACTTTAGTTGGCAAAAAATAGCCACGGCTTAATACATCAAAGGAAAACATACGTGATCATCTCTAGCAGGAAATATTAACTCATAATTACTTTTGTTTGACCTACAGAAAAGTCTGATATGCAAACTGTTCTGCGTTTGCTGCAACAAAATGCATTGTGTGAGACATAGCAAAGAAGTGATCATGATTTAAATCATGTAATAGTATGCATACAAGGGAATTTTTAACATTTTTGAAAATGAAACAGTATGCAATGTGAATAATTATTCATTATATTCATGGTAATTATGAAGCTGAGTAACTACTCACTCCGTCTCGGGAAAAAACATCAATATGAATAAGCACAGCAATGGTAAATGTATGCTCTATAGAAATATACTTAGTTTACACAAACATAATAGCAGAAAACGTGAACGGGGATTTACATTATCTCTGATGTACCCAAGAGGGCAAGTAAAAAAATTTCCTGAATAGCTTTCTGAAAGTAAAAGAACAGCATGAGAGAAAAAAAGGAAATGGAAAATTGTCCAGGTTAGGGAGGTTCAGAATTGAAACAATACTGTAAGATGCAAAATGTCAAAAGCATTATCTGACAAAGTCAGCATGAGTTTTATTAAAATGATTTTAGCTTAATCTAAAATTTAGTTACTACTATATTTAGTAACTACATAGGGAAATTCAGTAATGAAGTCTGTTTATAAGCAGCAACACTTTTAAGGACTTACTGCCCTTTTAATTTTTACAAAGCAAATCCTCCCTTACATAGAATAAAACATGTAGGCTGTATAGTCCCAGACACACTTCCTCCCTGAGTTCCCCAAGTGCTCCTTTCCCTCAGAACTGATTTGATTTTGCACCTTTACAGTTTGTTTGTCTTCTTTTGTAACAATATAGATAAAACTCCCTTTCACATCTATATACATGCATCTCTACACATAAAAAAGGACAAGAAAGAACAATGATGTAAGATGTACTATCAGTTCATGAGCAGATTTTATGCAGTAGTGAGAACATGTGCAATGTGGCACAATTACATAGATCCCAAAGTATCCAATAGCCATCCCAGGTCCCCTTTTGAAAGTGAGTTTGACAGGCAAAATGCAAACCATCCCTGTGAGGTAGAAGACATCCCCACAAAATACCTCTGCAGGTACCTGGTATATAGAGCATTTGTAGCAAATAGAAAGAAATGATGAACTTTCTAAGCTTTGGGGAG